AGTGGCAGTGCCAGTGGCAATGGCAGTGGTAATGGTACAGGTAGTGGTAGTGGGAGAGGTAATAGAAATAGACTTAGTCATTGGCAGTGGCAGTACCATTTGCAGTGGCAGCAGAATGGTAGTAGCAATGGGGTGGCCGTTCATGCTTAAGGAAACTGTTACAATGGATTACAACAAGCTTATAAATCCCATTTTAGCTTGGAACGCGTCTCCACACGTGGTGGATCACATTTCCATCAGTTGGTGATTCTGGTGACGTTTGCCGTTCCGTGAAGCTGCCACAATAGTTTCCCCGGCTATGACAATCAAAATAATGAGTTTACTCCATTTGGAGAAGATATCTCACTACGACCATTTTTTTCTTCGAAATCATTCAACAAGTGTTTGACCTACTTGCTCGGTTCAACTAACCAGTCATCTAGCGTTTCCAACCCTAGTCTTGTTTACAAATAGAAATCTAGAACAACCGTCAGATCCCTTTTTATCTTAAACTCGATCATCAGTTGTACGAGATCCAAACGTTTTATAGACCCTTTTCAAAAATGGCTGCCAATTTAAAATTCTTTTGTATGCTTTTGAATTAGCCTCACTAAACTCGTTTGGGAGTAAAACTTCTTTTGAATTATCAACTCAAAAACGAGGTTAGTCTGGCTAATTTTAATACTTACAAAAGAATTTATAATTAGCAGCCATTTATGAAAAGGGTGTATTTGACGCAGACCCCGACCGGCAGTCAACCTTACTACGTCTTTCCACGAAATCATCCCAGCATGTTCCTATGAAGTTAGTGTGATTAAAATTCCAGTGTCTTCCACGGTAATAATTCCAGATCTGAAGCAGTGGAAACGAAGTTCTTGCTGCTGATCTCGATCCACATTGCGAGTAATCTGAAGCAGAATAGCAGCGTAAGCTTGTCGGAGTTTACTGTCAATGTCCTCGTTAGTCGTTAGAACCATTGCTTGTCATCTATGGGGGCAGAGGGACCGAATGAATACGTACCTGACCTTTAATATTCAGAAATAGCAGAACAAACATCCTGACATCTTCTAAAAAAACACAGGCCCGCATGGCATGCAAAAGTTATTTTTGGACGATGAGGTCAAGGATGATCATGCGCAGTTGTTTTAGCTTCCTCTGAATTTTCAACAAGAAATTTCTAGATTGAAAGCGTTCTTTTCTCCCGCGTACTATATGTTCAAAAGTCTGTGTGTTTTCAAAGGTTTTGTAATTCGATTTGTTGGGTCGTTAAGTCTGGATGAGCGAGAGGCTTTTCGGTACTGGTGCATAGGTATAATTCCTGAGTCGAAGTTAGATGGCAACTTAAGTAATGATGGTGAGATGTTCAGATTAATCGAGTTTCTTTGTAATGATTGTAAGTTATCTTTAAATGATTTGTCACTGCTGAGAAAATTTTTATCGAGTGTTAGTCGATTTGATATGCTTGAGGCGTTGGAACGGGTCGAGTTACGTATATCTGTTGGTAGTATTGTGGAGGATTACATTAAGTCTGTGAACGGTTTTCGACAAGGCGGTCATGTGAAACTGGCTAGTAGGTATACGAATATTGTAGAGTTTTTGGCTACCACAAGAGAAGGGAATCAGGAACTGATCTCTTCGATCTTGGAAGTATCGAGACAAGTTAACGACAGTAGTGAGATGTTGGAGGCTATGGTTGGCGCGATTCTGGATTCTCAACTGTCATGGTCCACGGTTATATCTTCATTGGTGATTATGGGTGAGCTGTATGCTTCGTTCCGTCCAGTCAATTTAGCAGAAAATGGTTATTATGTCAGTATGTTCTCTGAGACCAGGGCCAGCGAGTGTCTAACAGTGTGGATGCTAGAAAACGGCGGTCTGGTAAGTAAACACACCTCATCAAATGCCATAAGGTGCTCTATTTTCTCTGTTAAAACGTCGCAGTAATGCGACTAATGCAACAATTTGCATCAATGCCAACAGCCCTTGAAAACGTATAGTTATGTGGCAAATACCGCATACAGTTACTTCGGACTACTCAAAAGATACTTGGTTTAAAATGCTGGGTTTCTAGAAGCTCTAACGTTAAACTTTTAACTGGACTTGTCTTTTGAGCGCATTTTATTCTTGTAAGCTTATAACGGCAGCATTTAAGACACTCCAAATCATTTTTTCTGTCATTCATTAAATCGACTTGCCAGCTTCCTTTTGTAGTGTTAAGTTGCTCGCAAAAATGAAATTGAAAAGAATTGGGGAAGCGAGGCATAAATCCCAGTACCTCAACCCATGAGAAGTCAAAATGTTTCTTGTTTAGAAACATGCTTGAATAAGCATAAAAGCGAACTCATAAAAAAACGGGCAGTTATATATGTAAATTTAGAAGCGTTCTGGCGGTACTTCTCAGCAGTCCTCAGCAGAGCCCTTCATGTATCGTTCAAGGACGTAATATGGTAAAAAGAAACACTGTGAAAGAAGCTCGGTCAGTTGAGAGATACGTGATGGAAAACAGACAAAGAATTTTCTTTCAGCAACGGATGTATGTTTACGAAATAGATGGTGACCCCATAATGGCATGCTTCAAGTAATACAACATTGCGCATTACAGACAATTTCTCGTTTGTTCACAGTCAACACGGAGGTGTATCTGGTTTACTCACAATGAAACTGTAAACCCTTTCCACATCTAGCCCAAAGTCGTGTCTGATATCACAATTCGATCCGTTTACGGACTTAGCAAATAAAAACTCCCGATGGTAGCTAGAATATTCGGGAATACTGTCTGCAGTCAAGAGCTGTACTCGGGGTTACGGTATTGGTTCCTCAGTGGAACGATTCATTGTGGATGGGGAAAGAATCACATACGTCATAAACACGGATCGTTAGTTTTGGCGTCCAAGTCTTTTTTTCTTTAATTCACGTAACCGTGTTTTTGGCCATGCAAAACCATGGCCAAACTCAGTCTCAAATAAGGCTTGATTTTATCTTTGAATTCAAGTTATCAAAATATTTCAAGTTTCTTCCCTTATTCCTGGTACATTGAGCGATCTGGTTCTGGTTTGTTCCATTCTTTGATCGGAAAATTTGTTTCCCATGTGAATATGTTTACTAAATTAAAAATTCCTTCATCAGGAATGATAATCTTTCCAAATGCATGTAGATTTTTCTTCAATCATCAGTTTCTGACAAGGTACCTTGTTGAAAACCATTAAGATTTTAACGGCCATTTCATTTTTTTTTGTTTAATAGAAAGCTTTTGACGAATTGATCAGGAAAAAACAAAGAGTTACAAGTAATAGTGCTGTGCCGTCATCCATTGAAGAATCTTTGAGAGGAATCATCGAATTGCTTGGACATCGAATTGATATCTAGTTCAGAAATTGGCACAAGTGCGACTATGCGACAGGTTAATTATGCGACAGGTTAATTAAAATTCATGTAATTGAGATTTATTAAGGACACATTAAGTTACGTTAACATTTACAAGAACATCCCCTCTCTTGGACTGCCGCCTTGCCGCGGTGGAGGGGCTTGTGTGTTTCTATGATCCTGAGAGCTTAGCCGGTGGAGGCGTCGCCTCTGGCAGGTACAACCAAACCGGAAAGATCAACGGGGAGATACCAGACCAAAGGGCAGTCACTAAGTCCATACTCAGTTGGATAACTTATTCCTTGTGCTCGTCACAATGGATATCAGTGGACTTATTGTACCATAACAGTGTTGTTATATATTGTATTATAATGCACTATATTGTATTATACTACTGTATAATTGCCATTCATCCACAAATATTATTCGTCTAGAAAATGTAAAAAGGAAAATATAGAAAATGTAATAAACTAAAACAAGCTTCATTTAATCATTATATTTGTCACCGTTCAAGTTGGGGAAATGGAAAGAGGGAGAGGCGTAGATGAAACCTTATTTTCCTGGGGTTTCGTTGTTACATAGAACTTAGATATCTTAAACGTCTCTTAACGCGTTTGTCTCGATCGACTTCGTATGAAACTACTTCTACATTTGTTTGACGACTAAATGATAAACAGGCACGACGTAAATCAAAACACCAATATAACTAAAAGGAACATTTCAACTTAAGATGTCACTGATCTTTTTAATAACATTACATAAACCCCGCATGAATTACTTTTTTCCACTGTTTTTTTCCCCACACCTTAAATTTTCGAAAATTTAAGGTTGCTCTGAACCCTACCTACAGAAATTTTTTTTAAACTTTGCCAAAAATTGCGTCTTATCATGCTTATCAAAAGTTAACAATATAAAAAAAGATTCACCGTGCCGTTTTCGAATCGTAAACCCCTAAAGCTGTAATATAGGGTGCTTTTAGGAGGTCATACTGTTGCTATGGTAACCTATTGCCTCACGAAAATGATAGCGTGTTCGCCAATGATTGAGCACTTTTTTGATACCATGATTGAAGCATCAAGTGATAAAGAGTGGTTATCAGTGCTGGAAACTGTTTTGAGCCACCTTAACCAAAATTTGGTTGAAGTTTTAAATGCATGACAATAAACCAGGTGGAGAAAATATTGATTTTCAAATTCGGCTTGTACAGATCTAGAAAACTAATAACCATCGAAACCGTTAAGTGGGTATGAGTACTTGAAGAAATGTCCTTGCGCCGAAGACTGAGTCGGAATCAAGAGACTATATTCTTTTGATCGGAACGCCATCGGATCCCCATATTTTTGGAAGTTCGAAGTCCATAATACGCGCTAGTCCTCTCCTCTTTTATCATTTCTGCCTCGTTTTATTAAATATCTGTCTTTGGTATTACGTTACCTTGGTAAGCTATTATTTTCAAGCTTCATCCACTCTGGAGGAGATTTCAAGTCCGTGAAAAAGTAATACAACCAAAGTTCCACAATTTTGAGAGCTTATCATGTACAGTTTTCACCATATCGATAACCTTCATTTTATTCTATATGGCTCGTTTTCCTTTGTTCTCTCGAGGGGCGTTTGAATACAGCCCGCAAATTATAAAGTGTCTGAAAAGCTNGGGGTTTAACTGTGACAAGGAAGAGCGGCGCTGATATCATGGTTCCCTGACATACTCCCCAGAAATAATTACCTCTATCATTCCACTAAAGTAGGTCAGGTTCATTTAGCGCGCCATTATTGTAGTTACTTATGAACAGTGACTTATCAAAAGAAGCCATTTTGTCCATTTCGACCATACGCCAATCCATGCACTTTCACTTTACACTGTGCTTTTCCGAAGCCTAAAAACGACCAACTTGATCGATTATTCCGATCCAATTTCGGTTAAGGACAATGAAAACTCACACAACGAAATACAGTTGCAAACTTTAATGAACTTTCCATTACACGAGTTTGCTTAACTGTTTGTCTGGTTTTTTTTTGTTATATATTTTTTTACTTTTTTGCTCTTTGGTTTGTTTCTCTTGTACCTTGTACGAGAAGTTTTTTTTTTGTGCCGCCACACTTTTCTTGGGTTTTGTTTTTTTGTTTCTTGTTTCTGTTGATTCTTGTTTTCTTGTTTCTTGGTTTGCTTTGGATTCTTATCCTTTGGCCATTGTTTCTTTCTTTTGAGTTCTTTTTTTTCTTGAATTCTTGGGTTTTTTCCTCTTGAATTCCTTTTTTTTCCCTTGAATTCTTGCTTCTTTTTTTTTCTTGAATAATTGTTTTTTTTCCTTGAATTTTAGTTTTTTTTCTTGAATTCTTGTTTTTTTCTTGAATTCTTTTTTTTCTTGAATTTTTGTTTTTTTTTCTTGAATTCGTTTCTTTTTTTTCTTGAATTCGTTTTTTTCTTGAATTTTTGTTTTTTTTTTTCTTGAATTCTTGTTTCTGTTTTTTTCTTGTTCATTGTTTTTCGTGTTTCTGCGGTTTTGTTCTTGTCTTATTTTGAACTGAAATTAAATGGAAACGTAACAGGACCTTTGGCCCTTAATATAACCTAGTAACTACCTTGGTTTGGATTAAAAAGAATTGAATGAAACGCAAAAAGGCCTTAGTATAACCTAGTAACTGCCTTGTTTTGGATCAAAAACAAATTGAATGAAAACGTAGTGGCAACTTACTAGCTGCATTGTTTTGAATTAAAAAGAACTCGGAGGCAACTTACTAGCTGCATTGTTTTGAATTAAAAAGAACTTAGTGGCAACTTACTAGCTGCATTGTTTCGAATTAAAAAGAACTTAGTGGCAACTTACTAGCTGCATTGTTTTGAATTAAAAAGAACTTAGTGGCAACTTACTAGTTGCATTGTTTTGAATTAAAAAGAACTTAACGACAACTTACTAGCTGCATTGTTTTGAATTAAAAAGAACTTAGTGGCAACTTACTAGCTGCATTGTTTTGAATTAAAAAGAACTTAGTGGCAACTTACTAGTTGCATTGTTTTGAATTAAAAAGAACTTAACGACAACTTACTAGCTGCATTGTTTTGAATTAAAAAGAACTTAGTGGCAACTTACTAGCTGCATTGTTTTGAATTAAAAAGAACTTAGTGGCAACTTACTAGTTGCATTGTTTTGAATTAAAAAGAACTTAACGACAACTTACTAGCTGCATTGTTTTGAATTAAAAAAAACTTAGTGGCAACTTACTAGCTGCATTGTTTTGAATTAAAAAGAAATTAACGAAAACGTAATGGCAACCTAGTGGCTGCTTTCTTTTAAAATTAAATCTACTGGAAAAAGATGGCCTTCTCTAACTCTTTGATCGCGTCGGCTATTTGTCTTTTCAAAGAAAAGTTCGGCCGGCTGCTCCCAATGTCGTGTCCTCGAAACACCAGATTGTGGCGTTCCCTCACATACTTACAGAAATCGTCCTGCAAGTGTAAAAAATACAGTTTAATGTAACATATAATAACACGAAATAATAAATGAATCAATCAATCAATCAATCAATGAATCAACCAATCAGTAAGTCAATCAATCAACGAATCAATCAATCAATCAATTTATGCAATTGATCTATTATCTATAAATCTCTCAATCAGTCAGTAAAATGCAAAAGACGAAACCTTGCTCAACCCTCGCTCCGCAGTAGCAGCAATAGCAGTAGCAGTGATGTAGCAGTGTCAGTCGGGAAAAAGAAGAGTGCGAGTGGTATGTGTCAGTGCCATTGTGGTAGTGGTAGTAGAATAGAAGTGGTAATGGCAGTGGCAGTGGTATTGAAAGCCTGATTGAAAGGGGCATGGCAGTAGCAAGGCAGTTAAGAGGGAGTGAGGTGACAGTGGTATCATTATCTATGGATATTAGGATATAGCAGTATGGTAGTAGTTGCAGTAGCCGTGCAGGAGCAGTATCGAAGCAGTAGTAATAGTATAGCAATGTGTAGCACTTGGCAGTAGCAGTATAAAATAATTTGACAATTTCTTCATCTTATGCAAATTTCAATGCTTGAAAATATCGAAACTGTAAACAGTGGAACAGGAAGTTGACAAAACCAGTTGCTATCTCACCTTTCTCATCGGCTATCTGAACAAATAACAAGTGAATATACTAGGAGTAAGGCCCGCAAACCGTATCTGATGTTGGCAATGCGTAATCCAACCACAACGTCAACAAACTCATATTAATCGAACGTGACAGTAAGAGAAAAATTTACCATCTAAATTACCATAATGTCGTTCTACTATCGGCTCGAGCTAACCTCATCGTTCAACAGTGAAAAAATCCTTGAATTAACCCTGATTGAAGAAGTCAAATTAGAGTGTCTGATTACTGCGTTACTCAGAAAAAACAAAATGCTTGAACGTGGCTTATGGCAAATTCCTTCAAACCAGAAGAGCAAAGATATGCCTGTTTTGAATATTCATTGCTGGAGGCCTTGTAGAGTTTTGCGAAAACTAGGCACTCGTCCCACTGGAACCCTTCAATTTGCTGGAGATTAAGACGTGAGACGGAAATTCACATCGAGAACTTAACTGGAATCATGATTTCAAAAACAAAAATTCAAAACACAGCTGCTGCTCTGTGATCGAGTTTCACTTTCGGTATTAAAGTGGCAGCTACACAATGATAACCGGTTGTTTTTGCCTAACCTATTCGATGGTTACCGGTAATTACCGGTATACAAGTAAATTCAATTAGAACTGATTGCACTGAGTTAAACATACCCACGTTCCAAGCTGAAGCATGGGATGGCAAAGCTCATCTGCTAATGATATACACATCTCCATGGCTTCTTCTGGTCTTTCTCCGGAGAAGGATGAAGATACGGCGATTACTTCCCCGGCAATTGCAACCAGCATGGAAAGTTTACCCCACGTTATTCTTTGCAGAGGACTGCATTCCTTAACAAAGTGTAGCCAGAGATCTTTAGGATTCTTGCCCGAGCTTTTGAGCATTCCTCTAACATCGACTCTTCCTTGAAAGCCCTCCATCAGTTGAACGAGATACTCGGCCGCGTTCGTCGCCGATGATTGGTAAAAGGAATCCAATCCATTTCTCTTCTTTACATAGAAATTGAGAAGAATGGAAAGGTCTCTTTTTATTTCGAACGCAGTCAGTTTGCCAACTAAATCTTCTCTTCCAACATCATGCAAACATTCCTTCAGGAAGGTAACGTCGACCCAAGACATCTTCGCAGCTTCCTCTAAGGAACGGAAAAGGGGCAGAACTCCTTTAACTCGTCTTGGAACTAGCCCAGTACAAAGAAATTGAAGTTCTTTACACTGTTCTTTGTCCAGATCGCGAGAAATCTGAATCAAAACAGCTCTGTAAATCTGTCGTAGTCTGTCAGTCATTTGAAAGTGTAAGTTGGTGATGATATGGCGGTCATCAGAGGCAGAGCGAAGGTTAGGGAGCGTTTATATACCGCCAAATTCTTAATAACACCAAATTAGGTCATCGACGTGTCTGGTTCTCATGGGAACACAATTAGTTATGCGAAGGCATGAATGATCATCAAATTAATTATAAAAATATTTACCATACGAAGTTAAAAAAGTAAGTTATTTGAGGTGTAAAGAGCGTTAGCTGTTTTCTAGCAGTTTGATAGGTCAGCGTTCGAAAATACAATAACAGAGACGGACAAAATTATAGAGACTTGCCATTGAGGGAATTTTCCCACGGTGTTCGCACATGGCCACGGTTGGCACACAAAATAAAACCGAGAACTTGTAATGCAATTGAGAAAAGAAAAAGAAGCTTAATGATTTGTAAAATCCTAAAAAGTAACGCAATATACCCCTCCACAGTCTGTAGTTTTGTGACAAATCATTTAGTGACAATTACAATTACGGCAAATTTATTTCTTGAAGCCAGCCCTGCCGCATAATGCCATTTATTGACACCTTCCTTTTCTCTAAAAGAAGGTGTAAAAACATGCTAGTGATACATTAAAGATCATAATAATTGGACAAATTTAGTTACTAGACGTTCACAGAGTTAGTAGAACCTAAGGCTTAAGCTAAGTGTTTCTTCATGAAATCTATCATCCTTCCTAGAGCCAAATCACAGATTTCCTTGGTGTAATTTGGATTGGTGGGGTTGGTAAAAGCGTGGCCCGTATCATACATGAACACTTCATAATTCACTCCACCAGCATCAAGCTTCTGCTTTAAAGATTCAACATCTTTAGGTGAGGAGAACCCAGCAAGGGTATCCTTACTCCCAAAATGACCTTGTAAAGGTATTTTGATCTTTCCCACATCACACAGCTCTGCACTGGGGATGCCATAGAATGGAGCAGCAGCTGAAATCTCTTCAGGGATGAGGGCGGCAGAAGCCAGAGCCAAGGCTCCACCCATACAGAAGCCAGTCACGCCCACCTTCTTGCAACCTAG